ACAATACAATAGTATAGTATAGTATAATATATTCTATAACATAGTATAATATACCATACTATAGCATTATAGTAAGTGTATATAATCATTAGAAGTGTTATAACATAATATTAGTAGTTATAATTTAGAGTAGTGGTAGTAAATATGGTATAGTTTAGTATTCTATATTATATTATACTACACTATAATATTATACTATAATATATTATATTATAGATAAGTATGAACAAGTAGAAAACTTTGTGGAAATATTATAAATCTAGTAAGAAGTATAGATAGGTATGAACAAGTAGAAAACTAGAAACATACAGTTCTTTTTAGAAAACCAAATTTTATTCAACTTCAGGACTTGTAAAACAAACTGATCATGAAAAATTATCCAATCGGATCACTAATTTAGAACTAGAACAACTTCTAGATCAACCAGATCCAGAAGAGCCGTCAACATCACAGAATTATGAGAAAAATACTCTCATTAATTCTCTACAAAAAGCCAGTATTCATAAATGGTTTATAAACATTACTTTAGTTGTTCAAAAATATTTAGTTCTTACAAATCTATCTGCTCTTGTCGATAGTGGAGACGATATGAATTGTGTTCAAGAAGGACTCATTCCTTCACAGTATTTTGAAAACACCACTAAAAAATTAGCATCAGCTAGTGGTAATAGTATGCAAACTAAATACAAGTTATCTAATGTAGCAGTCTGACAATAAGACTATTATATTCAAACTCCATTTTTACTAGTCAAAAATCTCTCGCAGCATATTATCTTAGGAACTCCTTTTCTATTTAAAATTATGCCAATACAAACCAATACTAAAGGAATTACATCCTACTGCTATGATCCTCCAATTGAATTCCCATTTATTACAGACCCAAAAGAAATTATTTTGAATGAAATAAACAAATTCAAAGGAAAATAATTACATATTAATTCCTTAGTTAATGAAATTAAATCTAAGGAATTTGCTGTTAAATTACAACAGCCATTAATCCAACAAAAATATCACATATCAATCAAGAAATTAAAAATCACATATGTGGAGAAAATCTTATTAGTTTTTTTAATAGAAAAACACATTGTGTTACTCTTCGCTACATCAAAAATTTCGATGAAAATCATATCCCTACTAAGGCAAGACCTTCTCAGATGAATAAAGAATATATTCAATTATGTCAAAACAAAATTTTTGACTTATTAAATAAAAAATTAATAAGAAATTCTAGCTCGCCATGGAGTTGTACAACATTTTATGTTATGAATGCGGTAGAAAAGGAACGAGGAAAACCTCGCCTAGTTATTAATTATAAATCTATTAATAAGATTTTAAAGTGGATCAGATGTCCTAATCCAAATAAAAGAGATTTATTAAATCGCTTAATTGAAGCAGAAATTTTCTCTAAATTTGATCTTAAATCTGGATACTGGCAGATTCAAATAGCCGAACAAGACCGTTATAAAATAGCATTCAAAGTCCCATTTGGACAATATGAATGGAATGTTATGCCATTTGGCCTAAAAAATGCTCCATCAGAATTTCAAAAAATTATGAATGGAATCTTTAATCAGTATAGTCAATATATTATTGTATATATAGACGATGTTCTCATTTATTCTAAGACTATTAAAGATCATATTAAACATTTAAAAACTTTTAAGTGGTTAGCCCAAACAAATGGGTTAGTAATTTCTGAACCAAAAATGAAAATCTTTCAAATTGAAATTAGATTCCTTGGACATTTTATTAGTAATAATACAATTACTCCCATAAACAGGAGTATTGAATTTTCTAATAAGTTCCCTGATCAACTATTAGATAAACAGCAGCTTCAATGATTTCTAGGAGCTCTTAATTATGTCTCTGAATTCTATCAAAATCTAGCCATAGATGCAGCACCTTTATATAAAAGGCTTAGAAAAAATCCATCGCCTAGGACCCTAGAATGTACCAAGGCTGTTAAAATTATTAAACAAAAGGTACAAAATTTACCTTGTATTAATCTTGCTAATCTCGAATATTTTAAAATTATCGAAACTGATGCTTCTA